GACTGGAAAAAGTTACAAACAAAAAAACATACATAGAGGGATAACAGAATATAGAAATAAAAATAATTAACTTTTCTAAATGATCCTAAGTGATAGTGCTAATGTGACATATGACAACTGAGCAAGCCAAGTTACAGAAAGGAAGGAGTTGCTGCTCTTCTGGCCACTCAGAATATGGTCAGTAAGATTTTTAAAATTTTAATTCAGCAAGTATGCATCAAATTGATCAAAAGTGACAGTAAAACATTTATAAAGTTACAAAAGATTTGTATTTCAAATAAATGCTGTTCGTTTGAATTTTATATTCATCACAGAATGACTGTTTTCAACATTGAGCTGTTTTTAATATTGATAATAAAATAAGAAATGTTTCTTAAGCAGCAATTCAGTGTGTTAGAATGATTTCTGCAGGATCATGTGACACTGAAGACTGTAGTAACAGCTGCTAAAAAGAATAAACAGAAACAAATGACATTTTAAAATATATTAAAATAGAAAGTTATTTTAAATTGCAAGATTTATTTCACAGTATTACAGTTTTAACTGTATTTTGATCAAATTAATGCAGCCTGACACAACTTTTAAATGGTATTGTATATTAAAATTAATAATGGAGGATGTAACCAACAAGAACACCCTAGCAACACTCAAGAAACCACTCAGAATGTCCTGGAAGGCACTCAAAATTTGATTTAAAAAATATATATAATTATATTTAATTATATATATTTAACTGAAATTATGGTTGAAAATTCACTTACATATCTGGTAGTACGTAAGTGAATTTCGTAGACTCTCTTACATCAATATCACCCCCTTTTTCTTTCCCTCTGCTTTTTATGAATTTTTTCTTTTTGGATAAATTCTGGATACATCTCTCATCTGATATTTATTTTTGTCATTGCCTCACTTTCCCTACCTCTCTCTCTCTCTGCTGGTTTTACATATATCTGTCTCTCTCTTTTTGCTCGGCATGGTAGTTCCTTACTCTGGCTTCATGTTCTCAGTTCTGACCCACTTACAGCCATTTGCGTCCAGTCTGTCCCCTGCAGGGTGGGTGAAGCTAATTTAAGATCTTTGCTTTTACCCCTCCACACCTCCTCCCCCCAACTTTCTCTTTCTTTCTCCTGTCTGCTTTTGCTTTGGTAGGGTTTGAGTATGCAATCTATGCTCTAGAGGTTTTTTCTTTTCTTTTGTGTGATGGAGTGAATATGGTAATTGATGGTTGGTCTCTGAGCTGAATGTGTATCTCTCCCTCCCCCTAGTGACTCGGTCATCTGAGTTTGGATTCAGCCAATTACTTGGTTTGCTTAACTGTCAGACCATCAGTCCCCAGAAGGCCTGAAAAAATGTAGCCAGCAGATGTTGGACTCAACACTTTCAACACTCACACAAACAGTAGGGAGACTATAGTGTCTCGTATGTGGAAAGAGAGAATCGCTTGTTTTCTGATTCCGATTTCCTATTATGCTGGTATATTATTTTAATCCCCTTTCTCACACAGATTGTTCAGTTTCAAAGTAGGCTGCTTTACTGAAATGATTATTCAAAATGGAAATAACTTGCTGGGTGCAAACGTAGACAGAAATGTTCTTAACATTTATTAGTATTAACATGAACTGCATAGGCCTTAAAATGAACATGACAGAGACTGTTCAATTGTGGTTTTTAAACTTGGTTTAAATGATTGTTTCATGCACAGACAATAATTTAACACACAATACACATTAACTGTGTTTTTGCAGTCATGAACAACCAGTCAGTAATCATAGGCTACATATTTAAAGTTCACAAACCTTACTTACACAAAACTTTGTTTATTTCAAGATTGGTGTCACTGACAGTAATGATAACTTGAAGTTGAAATGAGTCCGATGTTAATTCGGTAACCACTGACTGATTCAGTCAGGCACATTCAGTGATAGATTCGTCAGACTGATTAAAATGGTAACTTGTGAGTCTTTTTTGAGTTATTCCTTAAAAAACACTCCATAGAGTCATTTGCCCTTCAACTGGACTACACTGATAATGTGTTATTTTTCTTTTCTTCCAAACCAGTTAAGCAGAAATCACACCTCACAACCAATTTCATTGGTCAACTTGTGCAGCCACCTGTCAAGAAAGGTTTACATTTTATGGATTCAGTTCAAAGTTCAGAAAGATGGATCTCATGACAAACAGTAATGCTATCTATCAGGATGTGCTACCAAACACTTAGGTTAAGGTTAGGATGCAGGTTAAGGTTAGGGGTGAGTATTTGTTTCAGCGTTGTGTAGGCAATTAGCACTTTGATTGACGTGACCAATGAAATCTTTAGAATCGGCTTTGGGTGAATTTGGTTTGAGAAAAAAAATCATAGTGATCATGTTTTTGATACACTATAAATAACTGGTTTATATTAATAATTTGTTTATGAATCAGACTAACTTGGTTGTGCTGTATGTTTTCTTTTGCATGCAGCTCATGAGAACAGTTCAGAAGAAAGGAATATTTGCATTTTTGACATTTTATTGGTATCTAGCCATATAACACATGTTTCACATTAAATACAGACACATTAATTTCCACAAGCACAGTGTATATCTGTGTCAGAGATGTCTGACCGGCTCTGAATGAGTGGAATGCGTCTCACAGTTTCTCTGAGAGGTCAGAGCTTTGACATTCCATTAGAGATGTGCAACAGATACTGGGTAACCAGAGCAGTAACACAGAGACAGGGTTCTGGCTCTCTGTGTGTCTCCCCACTTTTCGGCTCCTCCTCTTTGCCCCTTCATGCCTTTTACTGCATTCACTTTTACACTTTCACTGAACCTCTTTTTCATTTTCTCTTTCTGAGTCAGCAAAGCCTCAGTGGCGTGACAACGTTTGAATCAGTGTTTCGTAAGCAGCTGAGTGAGGAATCTGTCTTTATTCCCTGCCTCTGTCTTTCTTGGGCTGTGTTTTGTGAGGATTTAGGCTTTTGTTAGGCCTCTACTCAAGGCTTGGTTAAATTAGAGCTCCTTAGAATGGCCTGACAGACTACCAAGAGGCTCTGCAATTCTTTCAGACCTGAAATATTTCACACACTAAACAACCAGCCACCCTCATCTATCTATCTATCTATCTATCTATCTATCTATCTATCTATCTATCTATCTATCTATCTATCTATCTATCTATCTATCTGTCTATCTGTCTATCTATCTGTCTATTTGTCGTTCTATCTATCTGTCGTTCTATCTATCTGTCGTTCTATCTATCGTTCTATCATTCTACAGTTTTGACTGTCAATCTATCGATCTTTTTATGTGTATATATATTTCTGCAATATATAGGTTGTTGATATGATTTCTAAAAAATGTTTATATTCTTGCAAATTATTAGTAGGGATGCACGATATATCGGCCACCATATCGGTATCGGCCGATAAATGCTAAATTTTTCTGTTATCGTATCGGCCTGATTAGACATGCAAGACATTAATATGGAACATTTAAACTTAAAAAAAATATATTTGTCAGTTTAAATGTACTGAATATGAGCTTTTTACTCCGGTTCATTAAATTAAAAACAAGAATTAAATTATTTCTGTGATCAAATTGTTTGCGGATGCCAATAATCTTAAGTAGCATGCTGCTGACTGATTGATCTTCTTCAGTGATCCATCAGTTTGTCACTAATAGAGATCGTTATGAAGGGGTGTTGTAGAAAACAGAGACTGAACAGAAAATTAAACACAGCTAGTTTACATTTATTGTTCTGGGCTGTGTTTCCCGAAAGCATTGTAAGCCTAAGTAAGTAGATCGTAACCATTGCCACCAATGGTTTCTATGATCAACTTACCTCACAATGCTTTTGAGGGACGCAGCTCTGTACTTTTCTCTTTTGTTTGTTTGAGAAATGTCATGTTTTCATAAGGATACCCTAGTGAAAAATAAATATAATAAAATGTATTTGAAATAAATTTATTTCATGGTGAATATACTACAAATGCATTTGCATATGTATGTGCTTAATAAAAATACCCTGCTGTTGTACTTTTAGCATACGAAACTGGTACTATACATACTTAAAGTCTGCTAAATTGAAACAACTAATTTTGTGCTTAATGCACTTTAATTGTGCGAAAGTAGTGCTGAAGTCCAACTAAAGATATAGTGAAGTATATTTGATTGTGCTAAAGTGAAACTATTGCAAGTATACTTCAGGTACACTTTAAATATCTTGCGTTCAAAGACTTATTAATCAAAGATCATACAATCCTCATCAATAGTGACATTAATATTATTAAGAAATGTGAATTGTGCATTAGTAGTACTCTGAATAAAGTTGAATTAGCTATCATTTTTATATGTCTCGAGCGATATGTCAGTAAATATGTTAATAGATTTGAACTACTTAGTATGAAATAAAGTTATTTTAAATGTATTACTTTTTCACTTGTGTAGGCCTCAGTAGTTTCTTTGCTGTTTGATAGTGGGTACTGTAAGTTCTCTTCCTGATCTCTCTGTCAGGGTTTACATCACGCTCTGTTCCCTCTCTCTCTGGCTGTGACACTGGCTGGTTTGTTTGAGTGTTGTTGTTTGGCCAGCTGACACACAATAGCCATGTTAACTTCTATTCTCTGCCCACTCAGTTTGCAGCTGTGTGTAGTAATGTGCCTCCTACAGGTGCTCAGTGTTTTTCTTTCTTACATACGACTGATGCATTATTCACTCCACATATGATTTCATTCACAGTACAGCTATCCTGCAAGTTACATCATAATAAAAAGTTATGCATTGTGGTACCTCTCTTCAACATTTGACAAACTGGACATTTTAATTAATGATTTAACAATATTATTAATCACTTTCTTTCTCTCTCTCTCTTCTTCTTCTCATTGTTCACTGTGTCTGTCTTTCTGTGATTTAAAAAATTTTTTTTTCTCTTGGTGTCTTTTTGTCATCATGTACTAACACCTCCCTCTCATTTCCTGCACTCCATGTTTTGGTTGCTCCTGTCTTCGTCGCTCCTGATAGGACACAGGCAGAGATGGCCCATACGTGCCGCGGCACCATCAACCTGGCCACGGCGCACATCGACACCGAAGACGCCTGCAATATTGTTCTGAGCAGTGGGGGGCGCACGTACCATCTGAAAGCCAGCACAGAGGTGGAGAGGCAGAGATGGGTCACAGCACTGGAGCTGGCCAAGGCCAAAGCCATCCGAATGATGAACGATCAGTCCGGTAAGAGCGGGAAAATTCTGGTGAACATAGATATTTTTTTTTTAGTTTGTGCTTTTAAGCTGAAATTGATCATTGCCACACTGATTTGCCAGCATTTTATTTGGGCTTGTAAATTGATTGTCTATATAATAAACTGGGACAAAGATTCTACTATATTCAACACATCACATCAGTCTTTAACAAACATTTATCTGAAGTTTCCTGGCAACAATAGGTCACTTTGAAGTTGCTTTTATAGCAAATGAGGAAAAATGTTTTCTCTTGGTGTCTTTTTGTCATCATGTACTAACACCTCCCTCTCATTTCCTGCACTCCATGTTTTGGTTGCTCCTGTCTTCGTCGCTCCTGATAGGACACAGGCAGAGATGGCCCATACGTGCCGCGGCACCATCAACCTGGCCACGGCGCACATCGACACCGAAGACGCCTGCAATATTGTTCTGAGCAGTGGGGGGCGCACGTACCATCTGAAAGCCAGCACAGAGGTGGAGAGGCAGAGATGGGTCACAGCACTGGAGCTGGCCAAGGCCAAAGCCATCCGAATGATGAACGATCAGTCCGGTAAGAGCGGGAAAATTCTGGTGAACATAGATATTTTTTTTTTAGTTTGTGCTTTTAAGCTGAAATTGATCATTGCCACACTGATTTGCCAGCATTTTATTTGGGCTTGTAAATTGATTGTCTATATAATAAACTGGGACAAAGATTCTACTATATTCAACACATCACATCAGTCTTTAACAAACATTTATCTGAAGTTTCCTGGCAACAATAGGTCACTTTGAAGTTGCTTTTATAGCAAATGAGGACACGCATCTGCCTTTTTAGCAAGATGGCATCTAATCGTATGGTTGAAAGTGTTACTTTGTAATTGAAACAGTATAGAAATGTTGGTCTGGATCCATGTTTTCTCTCTGCTTGGAACTAATTGTGTTAATTGAGTTGCTGCATAAAGGTTTTGAATGGAAAATGTCTGTGCTTTTAGACAATGGCCCCACAGCCCCTCTAACACACTGTTATCAGTCAGGTAAGGTGACTGGGCTTCTTACAGAGGCTTTGCATCATGTTTGCAGGGTTGGTGTGTAGTTCAGAGTGTTTGCAGAAAATTGCAGGGCTCGGCAATAAGAATTTTCTTCTTCTGGTCCAGTAAGGAGATTAAATTTGCACTGGCCATGTCATTGGATTTTCACTGGCCGCACCATAAAAAGGTCTGTTTTTATTTAAAAAATGTTTTTAATGAACTAACTAAAAACAAAATTAAGGTTTTGTAAGGGTCATGAACTGAGGAATAAAAAGTCCCCTGATCTTTTCACATATAAGAGGTCATTGTATTATTAAAAACATCCTGTATGTTTCAGAACTGATAACTTTCTCATTAGTCTAAAAACAGTTTATATTGAAGCCAATCTGCCAAAAAAACCGGGGCCGGATTCACAAAATTCTTCTTAAAGGTCCCATATTGTCACAACTGAAATTTCCTGGCTTTTTTCACGATTACTGAGGTCTAGGGGCTATTTAACTACCATATAAGTTTCAAAACAGTCAGTCCACAGTAAAATTCACACAGCCTGCTTAAAGTTCTAGCTATTTTTCACGAACCGTTGTGACTTCCGTAAAAAGTTGACATCATAACTACACAGTCACTGCCTTCAGTCACCACCCCGAGCACCGCCCACCTTCCCACTCTCCTTTTGCCAAACCCCCAGACAACATCGCGTCCATGCTTTTGCTGAGCAACGACAACAGGGAAACATGTGGAAAAGGTTAACTTTAACCACGAAACCAGATCGGCCGACCTGTAACGTTACACTCTCACTCAAAGGATGGACGATCTGACAGGATTGTTACAATGAGGTGATCACATCTAACGTTTATAGTAAAGACAAACTCACCGTGTCTATCATGTCATGATGAAGATGTATATACATTTCAGTTTCAGCAGGAAACTATTTTTACAGCTACATTATTGTTCCAGCCACAATTAATCACAAATCACAACAAGATGATATTTTTAGCTCCTTATGTAGCCGAACTTGCGCTGATTTGAATGGGCCGCCTCCAGTTTTACCTTTGTTTCCTTTGTTTTGCTGCCTCCAACTAGCGCTGTGACGTCGCTGACCCTAGTTACCTGTGGTTGGCCTGGCCGTGCATCACTCAGAAAACAACAGGCCAATCAGAAGAGAGGATCATGAATATTAATTAGACAGGCCAAAATCGACCTGTTCTCAGCAGAGCTCCTGAGAAAGGAGCTGTAAAAATATATTGAGATGGTTTTTGGTACTTATACCGCAAATATATATTCTTAAGGACATCAAAACCTCAAATAAAACTCCAGAAAGGTATACAATATGGGACCCTTAAGATCAATTCCACGAAGTTCGTAAGAATGTTGTTAAGTGCAATTCTTGAAAAATTCTTAATAAGTTCTCAAATATATTCTTAAGAACATCATAGTTTTTTTCTTAAAGGGGTCATGTGATGCTACAAGCACTTTTACACGTTGTTTGAACTAAAATGTGTGTTGGCAGTGTGTGTACACAACCACCCTATCGCCTTCACTAATAATGTGCTAATTAGCAAGTTTCACGATGAATGCGGCTAAAGTAAACAGTCCCTCAGCCAGCAGCTCGGAAGAGAGGGGCGGGGCCAGCAGAGCTCATTAATATTTAAAGGAAAATGCTACAAATCTGCATGCTTTGAAAAGAGCTGTTTTTGACCGGGTAAAAAAGGTGTTTTTTACACTACCATTGAGAAATTTTAACCAAACTATGTTACAGACTTTTCATTAAGACCCTAAAGAATCACATCAACTTGTGGAAAATGGGTATCCTATGACCCCTTTAAGAAGAAAATAACAGTCGTTATCTGAGTGAATACATGGCGCACTGATAAACTCACACTTTATTGTCTTTTTGCGCTTCCTGCAGATTACCCTAATAATCTTAATAAGCATGCACATTATTTTCGTCACGAATTTGACTGGCACTCAGCTTCACGTTTTTAATGTGCCGTGTTTTTGAACAGTTATTTTTAAAATAGCCTGTCTCAAGCTGCAGCGATATGTTTCATTCATTTTTGTGGTGTTTTTGCGCTCTCATCTGAGTGAACGCTTGCGGTATGTGTGTCCGCGCTGCTACAGCAAACGCGTCCTGCACATTCATGTGCGCTGAATACTGCCAACGATTATGTCATAAATAAAAGATATGTCAAAAAGTAGCGTCACACAGGCTAATCATGACCGATCATTGTTTACATTATCAGTTATCGCTGTCACTTCAGAAAACTCATGCACATCCCTATTAATAGTCCTACTATGTATTATATGTAGCTAGTGTTGTTGTAATGCTTAACAATTTATTTGAAATAACCCAATAAATTAATTCAATTATTCTTATTGTTTGGGATTTAAGACAAGTCTGGGGCTGTCCTAAATTTAAGAAGTTATTTACGATGATTTTTAAGAAGATTCTTTTCAAGAATTTGAATTCTTCTCAAGTTTTGTCTTAAGAACAATCTTAAGTAAAAAGATAAGAATATTCTTAAGATGAATTTTTGGGAATACTAAATATTCTTTAACTTTTTTCTTGTTAAAAAATAAGAAAATGGCAGTTAAGAAGAAATTTCTTCTTAAGAATGTTTCATGAATCCGGCCCCTGGTTGTGGAATATGTGACTTTATGTCGTTATAGTGTAGCTAAACACGGTCTCCGCAGAAGATCAACACCCGCTTATACATCACTGCCTGTTTAGCCCCGCCCACTGATTCACGCATGTAGTGTAAATAACGAGAGAGGCAAACTCAGGTCTACACAGCAATCAATTGATAAACTTTATTTGATGAACTTAATTCTTAATTAATGTCAGTAAGAACTTGGTCCTTTGTTCACTTCATTTTACCGCGGATTCGTTTACAAACAAGGCACAATTCCATGCAGGATTCTCAGAAAGATTGAAACTAAAAGACGATGCTGTGCTGACTATATTGGATCCGACAGTAATGTCGCACTACACAAGTTTGAGTAACTGTTTTTATTATGTGGTCACTATTGCTTTGTCTGTTATTACAGATTTGATATTTACTGAGTAATAATGTGTTCTTAACCATGTCACAGCCATGTCCATCGGTGAAGAATGTAGGCTGTCAATCTTACACAACTGTTAGCCAATCATAGCAGTGGGCAGTGTTGGGTAAGTTACTCTTAAAAAAGTAATTAATTACTAGTTACTAATTACATCTTCAACAGTGTAATTAGATTACTGTACAAATTACTCTCTCCAAAAAGTATTTAATTAATTATTACTAATTACTTTCTAAATCCTATATCAACCTTGACAAGTTAATGATATAAGGATAGACATGAAACAGTTCTTTTAATTCTTTCAAATAAATAATAGATAACTACATAAATTATTCTGGTCACACTTTAGATTAGAGTCCAATTCTCACTATTAACTAACTGTTAACTATGACTTTTGCCTCAATATACGCCTACTTACTGCATATTAATACTTCGTAAAGTAGCTGTTAAGTTTAAGAATTGGGTAGGATTAAGGATTTAGAATAAGGTCTTGCAGAACAAGACATTAATATGTGTTTTTTTAAGTAATAATAAACGGCAAATATCCCAGCAATATTCATGCTAATAACCAACTAGTGAATATTGAGAATTGGACACTTAAGTGTTACCAATGTTCTTATTAACTCACCAAAGTATTTAAAGTTAGAAGGGTACATAAAAAGCATGCGTTTTTTAGGTTGGACTTTAAATTTTGATGTTAAAGTCGGTATGAAACGGAATACGATTGTCTTTTTATCTCTACTGTGATGTATAATTCCTAGTGAAACTGCATCTGAAATGAGAGGGCGGGACTTGATTTCGTCCTTCGGGAATTGATTGGATCATTGGAAGCTGGCGTTGCTAACAAAATGGAGGCAGATCTGAATGCCAGTTTGCAGTTAGTTGTGGGGGGGATTTCTCTCCACTGGATTCACCGCCGACACCCTAGCATGAAGAAATTTTTTATTTATTGAGGAAGACGACGACGAGGACGATGAGGACGATCAACGGCACAAAACATGCCAGAGAGAGAGAGAGAGAGAGAGAGAGACTGAATGACTGAGTGCGTCCTCCATCAGGTTAAGTCATATTCATAAAAAAATAGTTTGCAATGTCCTAAGAGTAATGTTGTGGAAATATCTTGTCAATTTTTAAGGGTAGTGTACTCCCCCATGGCTTGCGTCAGCACTGGTCAATGCATTGATTTCTATAAAGTGAAGCATCAGCTTCAGCTTTTCCCCTTGTTGTTTATCCCAGCGTTTACCCTTCACGTCACTAGCTCCGCCCTTGCGCCATAGCTCGTGACCGGAAGAGAAGATGAGTCGTTTTGAGGGGGAGGGGAGGTTAACGTTTTTGATTAAAGATTACGAGGGCACATGAATTTAAAAAAAATAATGAAGTGCACGGATAAATTATTTATTATAAACACTACAGTATTCCATAAAAAAAAAAGAATTTTCCATTTTGATTTCATGCCGACTTTAAATCCACTATTGCATTGTATATAAATGTTCTACAGTCTATACACAGTATTAAGTTCAATTACATAAGAAGTAACTGTAATTAAATTACAGAAAAAAATAAGAGTAATCCCTTACTTTACTTTTTCAAGGGAAAAGCAATTAAATTACAGTAACTGATTACTTGGTAACTAATTACACCCAACACTGGCAGTGGGCATTTACTTTCAAGTCTACAGTCCGCCTCGCCTATTCAAACAGAGCGTTCTGATGAGGGGGGTCAAAACAGGACAGAAAATAGCCTATTGCTGTCTATTGATGTTTTTTGATGTAAAAATCTTGATAACATTATAAGTGGACCTCAGAGAACAGTACAAAATAAAAAAACAAAGGCAGTTCATGACCACTTTAAAAAAAAAACCTAATGAATAAATGTAATGGAATTAAGAACTGGTAATTAACCAGATATAATGTATGAATTAATGGATGCACTCTGTCTGAAAAAACAAT